ATTAGGGGCTTTTTTGGAGAATTTTTTTTAGAAATTTCCAGGTGTATCATTGCTTTTCATTCACCGCACTACCCCTAGTTCTACCGGTAACGTAATTGTAAAAACGTGTCTCTGGCATAGTGCAAATAGGCACATTTTAACGTTCTCCAATTCATGTCCTGACGCCCTAGAGACTATGCGCACTGCAAACCACTGGACGGAAGTCACAGGTTCGAGAGATCAGCATCGTTGATGATTTCCAATAAGGAGAAAACGGCTGTGCGGTGCTTCCCTGTTTTCCAGCATAGACTGATTCCACTAAGATGATGAAATTCAAGTTGAAAGTTCTCAAATCTCCTCATACTACCAGCCACTCTAATTTCCTCGTTGGATACCAGGTTTTTGTTTCACCTGAGAAAAGTTCTTGCCCGTAGTCAAATTGAACCTCAATAGTCGTGACGAAGTTGAATAATTCTGGTCGTTTTACAGGTAAACTGGTAAGAAGTGTACGGCCGTCATTTGCGGTCAACTACGGCTGATAGATCTTTCTGATTTTCGCGCTCTTTCCTGTCATCACATTCGTGAAAAGTTTGTATTCTTCCTGATGATCGGTCTTCAGCGCGCAGTCCTTTACTTCTGGAGATCATAGTATGAAAAATCTACCCTGCTCCCCCGAAAAAATGTTTTTTTAATTTTTTTTGGGTTTCAAGTTCTCGCTTTTTTTAAATCATGTCCACTTCGGTCTTCCGTCGTCGAACGGTATTCAAGAGGAATAACTCACCCTCGGTAGATGAACTGATCACACTGGCTTGGCCACGTGCTGCGTATGCCAGTCGACCGACTTCCTCGAAGGGCTCTTTTCGCACAACCACATGAAAGGTGGAACAGAGCCAGAGGCGGTCAAACAATGACTTGGCAGCGAAGTATAAGGACCATTACCAAACAGATATACACCTAGCACACCTCGGAGCTACCCAGCAGTTTCGGTCGTAATAGCTGTTGATGGTAAACAATGAAGCTTGAATCGGTTGCTCTAGTTACATTAGGTTGCACGTCCTCTCTGCATAAGAAGAATATCAGAATATTAGATAGATGATCGTGATAAAGGGATAGTTAGAGAGCACAGGGTATCACTAGGACTCATAGCCTAGCACTCAAACGATTTACACAACTTTGGTCAGTACAGTAATTCTTGTATAAGCCAAAGTAGACTACTTCTCAGAGATGACCGCTGATCTGGTCTCATCAGATTGAGTTCGAAATTGATACCTTTTGGAGGATCATTCGCAACCACCCACAGCGATCACCCTGCTAGCCACCGAGACGCAAATTTCCATCCCAACAAAGATGAGGATGCAAAACACTTGCAGATGGATTTTCTCATATTCTGAGTACGCACCCGACTAACCACAGATAATCCAAGTTTAGTCCCAAGTTAGCTAGAGGTCTCACATCATGATTTTCATCTGCATGACACTATTTTATGGTTATGTTCGAAGAGGCCATATCGAAAGGGCGGTCGAGAGTTGCTTTTTCTGAACGAGTCCAAATGTTCACAGGAGTCTTGAGGAACTAAGCAAATATAGTCACTTCTGAGAGGCGCCCTCTTCAGAGATGGGAAGCCGCTTACAAATCACTGAATTTTACGTCCCTATGTTCAATATTTTGCGTATAGAGTGCACACTAATTCATAGTGTTCAGACGATATCACCATTTTCTTCACATGCGAAAACAATGGTGAATTCTGCGCACCACTGTTTTTGGAACTTCTGTCCTAGTGAACTACACATTGTTGATACAAATAATCACTCAAGATGGAACACCAACCAATGCTTCCATCTATAACAATGGATCACCTCTGTCTGGCCTATCGAGGAACCAATCAGGATGGGCGTCTTCTGGTTAAGAGCATATTACGCTCTTTCTCTCGAGCAAGTTCGTCCTCAGGTAGTCTCTTCAGAAATTAGCCTTTCAGACAACTTTTCTTTCAACAGTTGAGTCCCTCCTAAAATATTACATTTTCCTCCTTATGGTAATCCCTAATTTTCAATGAAACTTCTTCCTGGGGATGATAGACATACGCTCAGCTGGCTGGTCCTTTGACCAATTACTCCTCAGTGGAGCTAAGTAACTAATCTGATGAACCGTTCAACGCTACCACTTGAGCATGGATGAATTCTTGTAGTGGGAATCAGCATTGACGTAATTGTGAAAGTATAGAGATGCAAGTGTATCTCACTTATTAGATTTACTCTACATTTTAGGGTAAGCTGGTGAAGTGAGGTATTTCAGTTACACCAAGTTTTGATGTGGTGTCCACTTTGTGGGGTAAACATGAACTTATCAGTGAGAGGTCTCTGTTATGGTCAACCTAAATGCGGTATTCGCAGAATAACCTCATAACCTCTGTTGCATCACTGCGTAATTAGTATGACTACTAATAATGACATACTGGTGCCTACTCGTGTGTTTTGGTATAGACAGAATCATTCTCCCCCCCCCCTACGTTGAGTTTATCCTATCCTGATGATAGGGGACAACTTATGTGATTGGCTCAGTCAGGAAGTACCCAACATTAAGCATGTTGGGTACCTTAAAATCCCTACTTTTATCTACCAGTCTAACGGCTTTCTTTCTGCATCATAAGTAACAATAAGTGACGCCATATGCTACAACTCGCTTACCACTTATATTCACAGCGACACAGTGCTCCCCTTCATTAGGCTCTTGCGATATGAGACACCGTTGACATTTTCTGAGGTTGTACATTGTGACGCCATCCTTGAGAAGGAAAACCGTAAAAGAGACAGTTTCCGGTTCGTGAACTGGCTGGTTTTCATTCAATCACAAGGAAGGGAATTGAAATATTCCTTCCTGGTCTGTTGGCGTCGGTGTCTTAAAACTGTTGCTGTCCACATTAGGGGCCCCCAAGACGAACTCGTTAGCCACAAATTCAGCGACTTTCAAAAATACATAGTCAATACAGCATCAATTCTTTGCTTTTTTCTACGTTTTTAGACGTGATTTTATGGTACCAAGGATGAATTATAACTTCAGATTAGGACTTTTTCGTCCAGATATCAGTAGGGGAAAGAGATGCCCTGCATGGTCTGTAATCGTGTAGCCAAACGAAATACGTAAGCCCCGTAAGTGGAACCGCCACGGGAAAACAGCTGTTTTACTCCCTCCTTGGACAACGTCTTCGTCCATGGGACTAGGGCTGGCGAGAGGCGCTACTTCAGACTTTACAAACAACTGTTCTCCTCATGGCCACACTGTTTCAGGGCGGTGAAGGTTTATCACTTCAAAAACACCTGTCCTACCACACCTAGTCTCGCTAGATCGAAAAACATCTAACTGCATGCAATTTCGCGCAGTCGTCCAATGTTAAGTATAAACACAGTTTGATCACAAGAATGCTGTGGAGGATTTTCTTCACATTTCGAAGGAAACCAAAGTAGCGTGTAGGTGTGAATTGAGGACGATGGTTTTTTGGTGTTTACAACTGTGTTATCAAAATTTTCCTTAGACTCTGCCATTTCTATATCCTTTACTCAACCTGTTTTTCGTAGGCCGAACGTCTGCCGGGCATAGTTATCCTACGATTCGGTGGTCCACTATATTATGCAAATTCTGAACGTTTTCAAAATTGGGTTACGGAAACGGTGGGTCTTGACGCCAATAAAGTTTACAAGGAGCTCCAGTCCAAAACTGCCGTGCCGACACCGAGCGATCGAAGCCAGGACAAATGTAGCTGTTCGTCCAAGTGTTGTTATCGATCTCAGACTTTGGAGGTTGCGGTGGTAAGTTTCCGTATCTGCCTGTGCTTCTGGCTATTTTTTTGTTGAAGAANTAGTGCTGGAATGCATTTTTAGAGCAGATCATTGTTTCCCCAACAAGATTTCAGAGTATTATTGTCCCAGTAGCGTGTAACCGTCGGAAAGGTGTTATATTCTACTGCACCGTGGTAGTTCGACTGCTATCTTTCCTCAGATCTTTATATACTTGCAATTCTATAAATCGAAACCTCACGAGTGGTGTGACGGCTCAACTATACGTATTCACGGCTGAAAAAATAAGGCGTTGGTTGGATTTCGCTTCACTTTTTGTATGCACGGTCGATCAAACCGCTTCATTTCGGATTCATTTAGTTATTTCTTAAATGGCATCGGTTCGAAGGGCGCTTTATGTTTGTTCACACTTCTCATTAGTGAGTGCTTGGATTTGGGTGACTACTTTTGCTTCCTTAATGTGCAAGATACTTTTTATACTTTGATGTACCTACAAGGATTGAGCCGAAGTGATCTTTTTCTGACTAAGTCTCCAGAGAGGATAACTGTTGTAAAATTGTGGATTTATGCTAGCCTGTGCTCCAAATCCGATAAACCCAACCCATTTACCCAACCAGTGATTACCCAATCGAGCGAGGAATTGCAAACGTTGTCTCTTGAACACTTAATTTCTGAGCTACCAGTGCTGATCACCAGCATACTTCAACATGACATCACCTTTCTTAGTAACTGTTTATGAGCCACACACTGTTGTCTCCTTCTTATGCCTTATCAATGATCCGGTTGTTACTGATTTTAGCGGTGGTTATATTTTATTCAGCAGACTGAAATTCCCCAATTTCCCTTACCATGCCCACAGGTTGTCTGGATTGTGACCTTCCTAGCCACCGTCTTTATTGATGTGCCGCTTGGTCTCATCACTGGCCTTGTGTTTTCGTTGGTGACGGTTCTCTGCCGCACACAATTGTCGACCAGTTACGAATTGGGTCATATTAAAGACACTGACTTGTATGAGAGTCGAACGCTTTATACAGCAGTGAGTTTGCAGCTACCATGCTAGTTCGGACTGTTTGTTACTTGCAGTATCGTTCCCCATGAACATATACGTCATTGGATACATATCTAGACTACTTGACTATATACTGGGGTTCCACAGCCAACGAATTGACTCCTATGTTGATTACTTCACACCAGTGTTTTCACACGTTACATCCTGGTCCATATATCCTTTCACCCTCTATTGGAGTGTTGTGTTTGAGTACCCCGGTCTGGAGAAATCCAAACAGATGTCAGCTGTAATAACAGTGCACTTGTCGTACAGTGGTTATTGCTGCCACCG